TTCCACCTGCTTTATTACACTCTGCATGTGCAGTGACAGATGCTCTGTCAAACTGTCGTCTTCAGATTGTCACCCTGCGACCTAACCCAGACAGGACACAGTCATGTGTGGCTGCTTATGAGGAATGTGAGATCGGGATGGGAACAGCTCCATTTCCCAGCAGCCTGCTGGCCTGACACGCTCTGAAGTGAAAGTCTGGTATCAACACACAAATCTAAACTGAAACCAAAATAGCAAACACCAACGTGCATTAATTGAACCCATGTATTTGTGCCTGGACCAACATTCTCTCCACTCCTTAGCCCCAGGGAATTGCTCTTTGTTGTTGCTTTGCATTTCATTTTCTTGTCCTTTTTCATCTTCTACTGTGTCCTTCCAAGATTCTCGGCATGTGCTTCAGATTCCAAACTCTTATGGAAAGCATATGTCTTGAGGAACATACGCTGCCATGAGTTCCAGGGCCAGTTGTATTTCTGTCCCAGGATTAAATGAGAAACAACAGTTGTTTGTGGGGGTGGGAGGCTTCTCGGGGTCTGGCTACTCAGAAAGCAGCGTGGAGCACAGAGAGAGTGGTTCTGAGACGTGTCTAAGCAGGGACCATTACAGAAAACTACAGCCCCTCAAAATGCAGAGAACAAGTGACAGTGCAGTGTCCCACCCCAACTGATGTGTCTACAACACAGCTCCTCCTCCTAAGGCTCAGGGAGCACAAGGGAAGATGGCGTGGAAAGATTATGAGAGCCAAAGGAACAAGAAGTCAGAAATGTCAGAGAAGCTACACTCATGAAGTCTCATCAGCATGCCTGCCTGGGCAGGATGGCACTCATTGTCAGTGTTCTATAGCTGCGAAGAGACACCGTGACCACGGCAACTCTTAAAAAGGAAAATGTTTCGTTGAGGCTCGCTTACAGTTTCATTATCATCATGGTAGAACATGGCAGCATGCAAGCAGACATGGTTCTGAAGAAAGAGCTGAGAGTTCTACATCCTGATCCACAGGCAGTGGGAGACTGTATCACACTGGGCATAGCCTGAGCAAGAGACCTCAAAGCCCACTCCCACGGTGACACACTTCCTCCTCCCACAAGGCTACACCTCCTAATAGTGCCACTCCCTATGGGCCAAGCTTTCAAACACACTAGTCTTGGGGACCACACCCATTCAAACCACCACAGGCACCATGATAACATGGAAGGGGGAGATCTCATGGGGTCCTAATCCTAGGCAAAGAACTACAACAACTAAGAATGATGACGGTAGAGAAAGAATCTTCCCCAGGGAAGGGCCCTCCAACTCATTGTCTAATACCAAGTGGCCAGCCCTGAAATATATACACATAAGTAACATTATATGGACTGAGCAGGTTATATTGATATATTTAGGAATGCATTAATTAGAAAGAGAGCAAGAGGGGTACATGGGATGGATTGAAAGGAGGAACATAGTATTTTAACAATAAAATCTCAAGCCAGGCAGTGGTGTCATATGCCTTAATCCCATTACTTGGGAGACAGAGGCAGGCAGATCTCTGTAAATTTGAGGCCAGCCTGGTCTACAGAGCAAGTTCTAGGACAGCTAGGGCTACACAGAGAAACCATATCTTGAAAACAAAAATTAAATTAAAATGTAAAAGTCTCTAATAAGGGAAAATAAAGTAAGAAAACAAAGGATGTCAGCTTATACATCCTACACATTTGTTCACTTTCTTAAAATGCTGTATTATTATTTGTGTGCTTGAGATACATGGGGTAAGACACATGCTACAGCATGTATGTGGAGATCTCTACTTCCACCTGTTGTGGGCCCCAGAGATCAAGCACAGACTGCTAGGATTGTGTGGCAAGAACCTTTACCCACGATCCACGAAGCTCTCTCACCAGCCCTACTTACCTCTTTTATCCACATAACACTTTCCAAAAGCTCACCATGTAAAACATACCATGCTCAACACCAAAAATGCCAAGGTCAAGATGCTCAAGAGTCAAAGAAGAAGGCAGCTGTAGTGGAGCAGCAATCTGGTTTGCCAAGGTCAAGATGGGAGAGCTTAACAGATAACAAGCAAGGAGCAAGAGTAGGGGGTGGCCTGGGAGAACCAGGGGAAGAAATGCCCTTAAGAAATCACGAAAGAGGGCAACAGAGAGGAGGTGAGGACACTCCCCATGGAGGAAACTGAGTGCAGCCTAAGAAAGCATGATGCAGGCAACACTTGGGAACTGAAATGTCATCACACTGACATAGGGCAAAGCCCATTGCTGTGGCCCAACCTGGAAAAGGCCCAGGTATTTAGGTGAGCAAAGGAAAGGAGCCACATAGAATGTTAGAATGGAGGTCTAAGGATTGAAGGCAAGGGGGAGAAAAACAGGAAAGCACACATTTGATCATGGTAAAAATCATCATAAATGGCTCCAGCAAATGCTGTATTTATGGGAGATGAACTGGAGACATAAAGCAGACAGTCTTACACTCTGGAGTGGGGAGACCAAGATGTGCAGGGACTGAGCATCTAATGGAACTGGGTGGTTTTACACTGTGGCCCCTGTGTTTGTCTTCTAGGGGCTTTTGAGAATTAACAAGGATAACACACATAAATGATGTAGCACTTGCTGTCGTTGGTACTAAATAATGGTATTTCTGAATGCTTACAAGGCCAGGGCTAGAGGGATGGCTTGGTGGTTAAGAGTACATACTGCTCTTGTAGAAGACTAGAGTTCGATTCCCAGCACCCATGTTGGGCAAAAATCATAACTCCAGGGGATCCATTGCCTCTGCCCTCTGTAGAAATCTGAACTTGTGTACACAGACACACAATATACATATTTTTAAAATAGTAAAAAGTATTTTTTATAAAAGATCATAAGATAAGTTTAAGAAGAATAAATGGGGAATGACAATACCAGGGATGGGAGACAAAGTAAAAGATGTTACAGTGATCCACTGCTAGTGCAAAACTGGTGGTATCAAGGAGATGCCAGTGACCCCAGGGGCAGAATGGACACAACTTGATCTGGATCAGTAGTTTTCAACCTGTGGATCGGACCCCTTTGGGGTCACATATTCACTATCCTACATACCAGATATTTACATTACAATTCATAACAGTAACAACATTACAGTTATGAAGTAGCAACAACATCATTTTTGGGGTCACAACATGAGGAACTGTATTGAAGGGCAGCAGCATTAGGAAAAGCTTGAGAACCACTGCTCTAGAGGATGAACGGGGCGGAGGAGGGTAACAGGACACTGGTGTGTGACTCAGACAATTGCACTGTCAGCAACTCAATAGAACAGAATTAGTGGGACATAGAGCCCTTTGAATCAGGGGACTGGGGGTGTCTGGGAGGTGATATCCAGCGAGCTCAGTGTGGGAAATACATGCAGATGAAGAGGTCCTTCAGGGACAATGGATTGGGTGCAATGAGCAAGGGGTCATGGGTAGAGCCTCAGAGGTATCCGCATTTAAAGGGGCAGACCAAGAGCAAGAAAAGATGAAGAGCTCTGAGAATAAATGCCCAGAGTTGGGGAACAACCAACAGAATGTCATCACAGTAGGTGAGTGGGCTGTTAACAACTGACAGCTGCCACAGAAACGTCCTGTTAGATAAATACCAAAAAAGTGCCCATGACTCCTAACACCATAATAGCCATTAGTGGCTTATGCAAGTGACCCCAGCAATTTCAGGAGATCATGGGCTAGCAGGGTTTCTGAAAGCGTGTGTGGATTAGAGAACAGTGAAGAAACACTGGGCAGCAGTGGAAGGTTCCGAGGCCAAGCTAGAGGCCAGGGAGGCATGCCGCTTTGAAACATACTCTAGTATTCATGTACTTATCATGAAGACCCTTTAGTGTTTCCTCCTTCCTTTCCTTCTCCTCTCCCTTTTTCTCTAACTTATTCCCTCCTTTCGCCTCTTCCTTCCAGGCTTCCTCATGGCCCACTAGCCTAGCCTGCTGCATTTTGGAATAATCCAATGCCCTTAGATGGCTTGTGCATCCATGGTTGGAAACAGTCACTCTGTTACTGCCCTGTCTTGCTGAAGGGGAAGCCTATGGCTTCACCTCACCCATGACTTCGGTGTCCATTCAGGCAGCTGACAACACCTTCTTGGGCAATGCCATGTGTGGTTGCTTAGTCCTGCCTGCTCCATATGGCTGCTTACTGCTCATCTGTAGAGCTTGACCCATGCTGTTTGTCCTGATCACTCCCCCCCAGAAAATAGCTGATGGACACGACAGCCTCCAGGAGTCTTCTCTTGTTCTCCTTCATCACTGGATCAGTTTGAGGGTCACTGTGCATTTCCCAAGAGTCATTCTAGGATATAATAACACTTTTCTTATGGGTGAAGTTGCAAAAACGAGGAAGAAAGACTCTCTAGCAGTTAATGTGACATTCATATAGAGCAGGTCCTTTGCTATGGCTGCTTTGATGAAATGTCTGGTTCTAAATCATGCCAGAGTGGTGATCGCTGTGAGGGTGGCCCATGCATCTGTCTATATATCTGTCAGGTGCCATCCCACCTCCTGAACTGACTCTGTTCATCCCACAGACAGTGATAGAACACCAATTCTGTGCTTTAAATGGGTAAGTGAAACAGTCAGTCGGCAGAGGTCTAGACAGGCATGCCTGCCATGGTAGAGTCTATCTTAGTAGAGGAGATACAAGAAAAAAAACACATAAAGGCCATAATAGCAGCCATGGCAGCGCTGTGGGACAAATAAAGACAAGTGTGTACTGAGTCCTGAACAGAGATGAGCAGCAAGGTGTACCTCAGCCCTTCTCTTATTTAATGGCACTAGCACCCTTAACTCTCCTTTTCATAAAGTCTTGATATAGGATGTAGTAAGGTGCCATGTTGTGCATTTTCCTAGCCAGTGGGGTCATGAAGCATTAGCACATCTGGCTGCTAATAAACCATTATGGCTCCAAGGTTCCTCTGTGCCACCCACAGGAAGAAAGCAGCAGCCATTGCTACTATCTGATGTGATGTTGTTCTGTTTTGCAGGTGAGCCGGCCCCATCCCAGTGACCATCCCCTCTTGATCCTCTTTGTGGTGGGTGGCATCACAGTCTCTGAAGCCAAAATGGTCAAAGACCTTGTAGCATCTCTGAAGCCAGGAACCCAGGTACTGAGTCATGGGTGACATGAGCAGGAGTCCAGGGGCAGCAATGGGAGGTGTGGCAAGGGCTTCGTTGTTCCTCTCTGACTTGCTCTCTTCACTATCTGCTCTTGCTCCACACATCCTATTACCTATCATGTTCTCCTTCCCCAAAGTCATCCTCCTGGCAAGACCAACCCCACCCACACCTCTCTGAGAGGGTTTTTGGTTTTTTGTTTTGTTTTGTTTTGTTTTGTTTCGATTTGTTTTGTTTGGCAAAGTCCAAACAAAGCCTGGTGTGGTTAAATTCTCACACCAGGCAAAGGGATCCCTGTTGTTTACCGAATAAATAGTGCCAACCAGGAAGTAAAGAGAGTGTGGGTCCAGAAGCAGGGCACGGCTGTAACTCTCAAAACACTGTAAACTCCGGTCCCCAGCATCCTCCAAGCCACAGCATCCCGTGTCCTCCAGCTAGCTCTGCTAAACATTCTACAACCTCCCAAACAGAGCCTACAGCTAAGGTCAAGACATTGTACTTCCATCTATACCACTGAGGGATTCCAGAGACCCATCCCATCTGTGGCAGTCACAGGAAAAGAGTGCTGCTAAGAGCTTCAAGACTTCACCAAGATACTCGCTAATACTTAAGACTATCCCCACAGCACATAAAACGGCTGGGTGGGGATAGTAGTGTTCTAACCCAGGCCTGTCTACCTGGGTGGTGATGTGGCTTCCTCCCGATTCCACATGCTCTTTGTATCCACACAGCCAGCATTCTCTCCTTCTGTGATGTCCTACAGTTGCTCCAGACACTTCCTGGCTCTGTGCTGGCATCCCAACCCACACTATACAGGAAAGTTCTTGCCTATTCACTGACAACTCCATATTTGCCAGCTTGGTCTCTGCCACTTTTCCTTGAGGACAAAGGCTGGCCTGGGCTTGACCATATGGCAGGAGCTAAGTAAGCCTGGGTCTGGGTGGGTATCTTGATTTTGGTAGAAACAGTCTGTAGTGGTGAGTGCCTGTGCCTACTGATGAAATCAAGAAGACCTTATATCTCTTTATATCCCTACTCACAACTAGGTGAGGGAAGCTGGGTATTTAGGGAACAGACTCAAGTCTGGGAATGACCAGTCATTGTCTGTGACCCTTTCTGCTAGTATCACCTATTATCATCAGAACTGGTGAAATTTCTGGAAAACTAATCATTCTAACCTCCTTTTGTTCCCATACCAGCAGAGTTAGGAGTCTACTGAGACCTTTTTTGTTTGTTTGTTTGTTTCCAAATAAGTAAACACCTTCTTGCTGTCCCTAACATGGGAACCACATCCTAATTCCTTAAAACAACTGTGCTTTGGGACAGCCTGCCAGACACTGTACTCCCTTCTCTAAAAGGATGGAGTGCAGATGCTTTCAAAGTCTGGGGACAGTATGCCAGCAAAGGCCAGAATCAGCAGTGTCTTTGCCAGTCTGGCCCTGTACCCACTGTCTGCAGACAAAGTATCTCAGAGCGATGGAGGCTTAAGGAACAGGCTTGGCCAGTCCTTGTCCTTTGTGTAAAAGGACCTAAGAGGATCCTCACAACAGAGGGGAAAGCCTGGAGGCCTCCTTACCCAGTGCCTTTTGTCCCCAAGCTTGTGAAAGCAGGGGGTGCTGCTGGAGTGACATTCTCTGTGGCTGGCAGCCCTCCCCTTCACCTGGCGGGTAGCTACCCTAGCCAACAGCTAATAGAAAGCTCAGTCTTCCAATTTTAGAAGCGCTCTGGAAATCAGCCCTTGCTATGAACTGTATCTTAATGGTATGTGCGTCACTTCCGTTCTCTACTTATGCTCACGCTGCTGTTGGGAGTGTGTGAACCCTGCTGAAGGAGCACATTCCACAGAAGCAATGTCCCATGAGGCTGTCAAAGGCACAGCTGGCCTGACCATGTGTGAGCAGTGCCCATCTACACAGGGCAAGAAAGTCTTTGCCATCACTCCCAGGGACTGCTGATAAGAGAAAATACGCAAGTCTTTCCTTGACTCGACTAAGGAGAGGAACTCTCCCAACCCACCCTAAACAGGCACAAGAGCAAATCAGGAGTGTCCTGAGGCTCCTTTCCTCATGCGCTTGTGCCAGGTGCCAGCCTTGCCCCCTCACTCTGCTGTGTGGCATGGGGCCCTGTGGCCAGATGCTCTGGCCAGCTGAACTCTGTGGCTGCTGAATGGTAGCCATGAGGCCCACAGAAGCCTGTGATTGTGAGAAGACAATAACAGGGAGGTATCCTCACAGAAAACAGCCAGGTCAGAAAAAGAAAGAGAGGCCAAGCATGGGAGCTACCCGGCTCTTAGCTGCTTACCCCAGCGGGTGTGGACACCATGCCTCCATGAACTTCCACACATCTGAAGCACAGTGGTGTTCTGTGAGAATTACAAGCATTTAAAAACAAAACATAAATCCAGAAATATAGCTATACACAATTCCTCATACATGTTTGGGGGTCTTTGTAAAATTGACAGGGGACTGAAACAAGTCTGAGATCTGAGACATTAACAAAAACACCCACACCAGAAGGGATGAAGCACAGAAGGATCTGGATGTCATGGTGCAGACTCTGTAGGAGACCGGACCCCCAGCCCTGACATCTGGACCAGGTGGACAGCAGGCCCAATGTGTCACAGGGCTACTGAAGAGAATAGCTGTCACCCTGGATTAACCACTCAACATTTTATGTCCTGGCACCAGAGGATGGATGTGTACCCATGTGTACAATATAGCACGGGTACAAGCAGGGTTAGATCGCACCCCTAATGTCTGTGCAGAAACCATAGCTGCTGATGGATGGATGAAGGGCCATGTGGGCACCTGTGCTGTGTGCTTACTTTGGGGATGGAAATCAGGTTTAGAAGAAAGGGAGAAAAAAAATAGTCTGCTCTTTTGATTCTTGGTATTAGAAACCAGAGGGCTCTGAATCCCAAACCCTAGATTTGCAGTCAGTAGAAACAGAACAGACGTCATTGGCACCTGCAAATCACAGTGTGGCTGGAAAAGAGGAATGCCAACCAGCAGGCCTCCCAGGGCTAGGCCTCCCCAGCTGAGTGCAGAACATGCCAAGCAGAGGGCTGCTGGAGGGTCTTGGCATCTTGGCTCTGGGGACACTAAGGTCTTTTGTGCTGTCTCATTGTGAGTAAGCTCCATCTTTGGACAGACCTTGGTAGCCCCTCCACCATTAGCTACGCTTGCTAATGCTAATCACAGTTGCCTGTGGCTCTGCTGTGATGTGAGCTCTTCACAGACCAATGCTTTGTCTGCTAAATGCCGTTTCTCTGTTAGACTGTGAGACCTGTGGACAGTCAGCAATGACTGTCTAGGTGGGCGGTTCTTGTAGGAGGTGTTCTTCTCAACAGCAGTGCACAGGCAGGTGGAATGCCCCAGGTGAGGAAGCTCTTACTTCTGAACGCCACACATGGCAGGTGACAGGCGAAGATAGGGCACTCGGGAGCTGAGGAGTCAGGGTGAAACGCTATTCAAACTTGAATGATGCCAGGCCTGAGCTATGAGAGGGAAAAGCAACAGCAACCAGAAGAAGAATTAAGAGGAGAGAAGAGCTGAAGAGGAGAGAAAGGGAAGCTGCAGCTAGGGAGAAAGAAGACCAGAAATGCAGAGAACAAGGACCCTTTGTAGGCAAGGAGCATGGTAGTCCCTGGAGTTTGTCTGTTGCCAGGTCTGCTGTGAAAAGCCAGCTCTCTGGAAGGTATTCTCCAATGTCAAATCAACCCCCATACTTGGCTGTATTTGAAGTATTTGCATTTCATGTGACAGTTTCAAGCCTCTCTCCCATTTGTAGCCAAGATTTTAGAATGGCAATTTTAGACAAATAATGCACAGTCTTGTGTGAATTAACTTGGAAAAAAACAGAAAATACTCTAAAGCAGTCTAATTATCAAAAATGCCAAGGGTATAAAAATGATGATTATGGGCTAGAAAGATGACCCCGCAGCTAAGAGCACTTGCAGAGGACAACAATTCAGTTCCCAGCACTCACATGGCAGCTCACAACCATCTATAACTCCAGCTCCAGGGATCTGACACTCTCTTCTGGCCTCCAAGAGCACCAGCTGTATACACACACACACACACACACACACACACACACACACACGCACGCACGCACGCACGCACGCACGCACGCACGCACGCAAAGCACTCATACATGTGAAATGAAAAAAAAAGTTTTAAATGCTTATGGATATTAACATGGTAGGTTGTAACCCTGGTGGTGTGACCTGATCCAGTTATAAACACCATATGGTAGGGTTCACTGAACTGATACAGAGTATATGTCTCTCTCAACTGATAGAGAGTAAATGTAGGCTGTCATCTGCCCAGTCTCATCTGAGGCCTTCCTAAATGAAAAGCTCCCCACTGTCCAGGGCTGAATCTCTTGCCTCCTTCACTGTGTGCCTATCCTGCCCATTCAGTCTTTTGCTCAGTTATGTGTGAACTCAGTGTTGCATGCCCTGCCCTGTACCAGGCACTGTGCTAAAGAAACAATTGGAAATGGCAGTGTGCCACGGGGCACACTCAGGGAGGCAGGAACATCTTAGCAAACTGAAAGACCGTAGAAAGAATAGGGGATTCTGCCCACATAAAGGAGCATCCCCAAACACCCATTTGTGAAGCTGCAGATACTTGAGGGTAGCTGACACATGAGACTGACCATAAAGAGCTATGAAGGAAAGATGTTTGGAATTCAGGAGGAAGCAGACTCTGAGGCCTGGGATGCTGTCCTGGAGCTGGGCTTATCAAACAGCCATAAAAAGAGAGTATAGGTTTGAATCCTATGAGTAACAGATTTACACTGAAAGAGCACACTCTGGCAACTTCATCTCCCCTTCATCACTTAAGGGTGCAGCGAGATGCAAGGAGGGAAAGTATCAGTGGGAGCTAATGACAGCAGCCACCACCAGAAGCCTGCATTGTGCTAAATGTTCTGCAATGTTCATCCGGGGCAGACAGTGTTAACCATGCCTGAAAGGTGAGCAAAGTAGGACTCGGAATGATTAAGCAACTGCTCCAGGGTTAGCTGGGGTCCACTCAAGCTGGACACGCCTGAGCCTGTGTTCTCCACCACAGCACAGCACTCGGGAAGAGTCCTTGGACTCAGCCCTGCTTTCTCCCTTCCTCTCAGGCCCCCAACGTACTTCACAAACTGCTTCTGTTTCCAATTGTTTGTCTCCACCTGATGCAGAGCAGGCTCCAGATGCCCTTCTTGTTTGGATGAGAGGAGCCTGATCTTTGTGTTCACACTCAGAGAAAACCAATCCAGACTCTGTCAGCCATGGCTGTGCGCCCAGTACAGGGCCTGAGCAGGACAGGTCCTTTAGGCTCCATTCGCTGCTCTCAGTATTGATGTCAACTGAATTTGTAGCCACCCCCACCTCCAAGTTCTTCAAACCTGACAACAAGACATCATCTTTGGAGACACACTCCATCCTTACTTCTACCCTTAACTTCAGTTGGAGAGGAATCTATTAGCCTCAGACTGGGTTGAAAACTATGGAGGCTGGCAGTATAGCAGGGACTGACAATCATGGGAATGGAATCTCTTCTGCTTCACGGGGGTCTATATCCTGCATCGTGTGTGTGTGTGTGTGTGTGTGTGTGTGTGTGTGTGTGTGTGTGCATGCGCACAGCCAGAAGAAGCCATAGGACAAACAAACTCAACTGTCATCCTTCAGGACCTATCTACCTTGTTTTTTTGAAACAAGCTCTCTCAACTAAACTGGAGCTCACCAAGTAGGCCCCCTGGTCAGGGAACTCCAGGAAACTGCCTGCCTCTGCTTTCCCAGTCCCAGGATTACAAACACACACCGCCTCACCCAGCTCTCTCATGTAGAGTCTGGGCATGGCATACCAGTTCTCATGCTTACACAGACTCCGTAAGACTCCCCTAAAACGATATGAACCTGTAAGTGTTTTTCAAGAAAATTCTGTGCTTTCAAATGATTCGGAAGGAGACCTGCAAACCCATCACCACATCGCAGTAGTTGAGCACTTCCTGGGCTCTCAGTAGAGGAACTTATGTAATCCTGGTGACAGCACTACAAGTTCTTCTTTTCTTTCTGGGACAGATGAGGTGGGAGAGTGAGGCTCCAAGTAAAGTGGCTGTCCTTCGGGGATCCAGCCAGCCAGCAGTGGAGCTGCTACTGGCAGCTCTGGCCTGAAAGCCAGCTTGCCACATGCCTGTTTTGTTTGGTGCAGCATACATGCTGGGGCCCACATGCTCTGGTGGCAAGGGCACACTGATGTTCACCGTTGTCCTCACACCCTCTTTGCATAGATCTCAAGGGGAATGAGAAGTTCAGGTTTCGGTGCTTTTTTTTTTGTTTGTTTGTTTGTGTTTTTCCCCTGCCAAATGTATGGGTTGGTTGGCATTAACCACATATTTCTTGAGATAGCTCTCTTCCAAAAACAAGTGCTTCAAAGGCAATTCTCTGAGAAAAGCGAGGGAACTCTTGAACAAAGTCACTAAGATGTTATTTTCCAGAAGAAAGACAAAATTCTAAATGTTTCTTTTCTCCATCCCTTGACCATGGCCCGGCCCTGCTCTGTCTCTGTCTTGCCCCCAATGAACTAGTTGAATTTGGAGTGGATTACTTCACTGATTTCATTACACCTGGGGTAACTTTGAGAGGACAGGGAGGTGTCCTCCCTGAATCTGTCCAATGTCACACAGCCCGGTGCAGCCCAGTCATGCCACACTCTGGTGCTGGCCTGTGGCATTCCTTCTGGAGCACCTCTGCGATTTCCCGTAGGCACTTCCTTATGGAGGGTGCTAGTGCCTGCTTGGGCAGACCCTCACCTGGCCCTCACAAAGCATACCATGCCCCCAGGCAAGTCCTGGAACAAGCCATCTTGGTGTTCTAGAGAGAGCATCAGCCAGGTGGGGCCAAAGGATTAGATGAGCAAAGCATGAGCCGCACTTGGCACCCAGGTTATAGATGAGGGACCCTGTGCCATGTCTGCTTTCTTCATGACACTCACCCCATGCCTCCTTCCAGAGACCATCCTTAGCCCTTAACTGACTTCCCTGACCGTTGCTGTGCTTGTCCCTCCTGTCATAGGTGATGGTGCTGTCCACAAGACTCCTAAAGCCACTTAACATTCCTGAGCTGCTCTTTGCCACTGACCGGCTACACCCAGACCTTGGCTTCTGACATCTAAGAGAAGATAAAACCTGTAGGAGCTGGAAATACCAATACCCATCTGTCACCATTCCAGATATGCCTCCAAAGTCAGTGTTCCCATTACTAATTATAGGTATGACTTAATTCTACCAGAGCAGGCTTCATAACCATGCAGAAGGCAGTGTCTGGACTGCCTGTGTTCTTCAAAAGTGAAATAAAGCCTTGCATGTACATTCTTTTTCTAAAGGTGTCAAGCTCTCTTTAGCTGACTTGGCCTACAGGCCCTCATTTAACCTCTCCCCTGTTGTAATCTTCCTGGAGCTGCCTGCAAGTCCCTTAGCTCTGGGTAGAAACCTGCCGGCAAGTGGTAGTAAAGATAAGCATTGTGGTTTGGATTTGGTCAAGGGAAATTAAATGTGCTTACAATTCTCTGCTTAAGGAAACCAGACTGTCCTTGTGACTGTCCTGGGACTGTGTTTCTCTCTGACTCTAAAACATTTCTGAAAGACAAGGAAGGGAGGGGTGGCCTGGCCAGCGCTAGCCTGGTAGACTCTATGAGTGGTAAATCACCCCAGGACTAACAAAGGGCTGCTTTGTTCCAGCTTGTTCTGGGAGCAAGGCAGCCTGCTACTGGGAACAGCAGTGGGAGGGACAGCAGGAGGGCGGCCAGAGGGCTGTCCTGCTGCACATGGTTTCCTCCTGTCCAGAGGAAGCCCTGTGCAGAAGAGATTCCCTTCCAGGGAGTCTAGGTTGGAACCCCAACTCCCAAATGGTCTTTGTGATTTCAGATTCCTACTGAAATAGAAAGCCTTCATCTGGGACCTTACATTTTCTTTCTGGTCATAACAGAAAAACCCAGACACATCTAGTGAAATTATATGAGAACTCTAGGGAAAAAGAAAGAAAGAACTGCTTGGAACCCAACCCAGACATCACTTATAGGTACATGGCCAGTGGGGGTTCCTGGTGTGAGTAATGGATGTCTGAAATGAGACAAAGCCATGAACAGTTTCTAGAGTGGATTAAGCAGAAAGACAAAATAAAATATAAACCGAGGCATGGCTATACATCTTACTTCTCTATTAAATGCTGTCATTTTAGGGAAGTAGAAAAAAAATACTGTGCATTTAGAATCATTTTAAATCAATGGAGCTGATTTTTATGAAACTATATGTTCATTTTCATATGCAAGTGTGCTTTCTACCTTCACTAGATCTTTGATGGTGCTGAACTATAAAACTATAAAACTCTTTTTTTAAATCCCATTAAGCTTACATTTGAATGAGAAAAAAAAATGGCATTAGCCTCAAAGAAATTATATGTATGCAGAGATAAGTACTTTGTAAAATAAAGAAATTTAAAGTAACCTACCATGTGACTCAAAACTGTTCATTCTTCCATTCATTCTCAAATGTTGAATGGGAACCTGTGGAGAACATTCCACATACTCGGAGTTCTGAGTCAGGCTCAACACACACCAGACACCAGCCTGACTCCATGGCACTAACGAATGAGCAGCTGTGCCTCATGCCTGGGTTCCCCTGGGTTTCTTCTCAAGGTTAAGTTGCATACCATGTGTGAAGGGAATCTGGAAATACCAAACCAAACTGCTAACCAATGGTTATGTCTGGAAGACACATCAAGGGGGAGGCTAGCAAAAGGTGAGTCACCCCCCCATTACCTCTGTACTGTTTCAGGGTTTTATATCAAATGTATGTTTGTGTGTTGCTTATGTGAATTTAATAGTTTATCTTGGCAAGTTGTTTCTTACCTAGTAAAAGAATATTCAGAAACATCGACTCCTATAACAGGATAACATTACCAGTTATGTTAGCATTCTAGAATGCTCTAGCACTGAAGTAAGTATGGCCATGGGTAGTGTTGGTGTGAGTAGAAGTGTGAAAAGTTTACTTTGTTATCATCATCTTCCATCTTGATGGCTGCTGGTTGGAAGAACTGGGCCAGGCAGACATTCGGTGATCGAGGATGTGGAGACAAGCAAGCTGGAAGAAGTCGGTGTCAACTGGACTCTGGTTTAAATAAGAAGATTGGAGAAACAGGAGAGACTCCTGGTCCTCGATATTAAACAGCGGGAGCATAATATAAGTTTGGTTGTCGTCCTACAAACAGCTGTGAACAAGTAAGAGAAAGAGGGTGGCTTGGACAATGGAACACTGTCCTGTGGCTGTCTTTGGACACTGAATCTGTGCTCATTTCCTAGATGAGGGAGGGATTAAGGAGGATGCTAAGCATATCCCACCCATGTGAAGGAGCCCATGGGTCAAGGCTCTGGGGTCCTCTCTGACTTTATGTCCCAATGCTACCTCTCAGAGCCCATGTTTATCCAAGCCTGCACCAACATCAATGAGATGGGTGTAATGGAGCCTCTTTCCCAGAGAGCTGCTAGGGAGCCACCTCTAATAGAATGGCTGGTACACAGCTCTCACTGAGTTATATCAACAGAATGGTAATAAGTGAATAGAGAAATAAAGTCTTAGTCCAGCCAAGGCCATCTAACCAAGAGGTAGGTCTTGGTGCACATCTAGTAGTTCATCTGTCCAGGTCTTAGTTGAACATGACGTTAGATGCCAATAGACCATACCACACTGGGTTTTAGTGCCAATTTAAAGAGTAGTACTTAGAACATGGCTCAGGGTAAGCTGCTCAGTGCTCCCACATTAACCAACTGTCTGTCACTGTGGAAAAATATCTGTGAAAACCAGCTTGCAGGAGAAAACCTGTCATTTTAGCTCTCAGTCCCAGAGGTGTCAGTTCAGTCGCTTGGTTCTGATGTTTCTGTGCCCATGGTGAGGTAGAACATCATACATGATAAAGAATATGTGAGAGTGGAGATCCATTGGACATAGGATAGCCAGGAAATGGTGGGGGGTCTAGGAGCAGGGACAAAGTACATGCTCTCAAAACAGCCAGTGAGCTGCTTCCTCTTGAGAGTCCAATCCTCTCAAGTTCCGCCTACTTCCCAGCGTTGCAGTAAGGTGTGAATCTCTCAATAGACTGATCCATTGGTGAAATCAAGGTGTTCATGATTCAGTTACCCTTCCCCAAGGCCCCTTCTCTGAATACCCCTGCATTGAGGACCAACCTTTGGAAGATGTTTTAGATGTAAGCATAGCAATGCGTGAGAATCACTACTTGTGATGGTCTGAAGAAAAATGGCCCTCGAAGGCAGTGGCACTGTTAGGAGGTGTGGCCTTATTGGAGGAGGTGTGTCACTGTGGGGGCAGGCTTTGACGTTTCTTTGCTCAAGCTTCGTTCAGTATGACAGTCTACTTCCTGTTGCCTGCATATTCACTCCTTTTCCAGCACTATATCTGCTTGCATGCAGCTGTGCTCCCGTCATGATGATAATGGACTAAACGTTTGAACCCATAAGCCACCACTTCAATTAAATGGTTTTTTGTTTGTTTGTTTTTTTGTATGAGTTGCTGCAGTCATGGTGTCTCTACATAGCAATAGAAACCCTAAGACACTACTAGTGATAAATGTTGGATGATTGACTCTGCAGATCCTTGTTTCCGTAGAAACTTTCCCATCGCTAATGTTGACCAGAAAGCAGCATGTGTAGTCTGGGGTTGAAAGCCTTATTTACCATTTCCACATTATCCAGATGTATGAATTTTAAAGGGACCTCCCCCACGCTCCTTATGGTAGCCACCTGAAGGTGACAGAAATGGCCCAGCTCAGGAGCTGAGAGGTAGTGACTCTCATGCCTGGGTATACTTACCACCTAAAGTATGTAGGCCAAATTAAACATACACAGACCAATCTCTTACCAAGGCCCTTGCAGCCACTTTTTATATGCATAATTAAAATTCCAGTAATTGCTTTGTGACTGCTCCTCTCAGAAAAGACAGCTGAGGTCTGCTCCTTTCAGAAAAACCCTGTCCCCCCAAGCACAGGGTGCAAGCAAAGTGTTTGGAAGTATTCCACACAGAGGGTCAGGTCCTATGTGATAGCTGTTTGTACCAGGGTCTCTACAGTTACACTGATATTTCCATAACAAATAATTCCATACCCCCCCACCCTCCCAAGACCACTATTGTTTCTTCTTACCCTGGTTACCAGAAACAGCATGTCAACAACAAACAATCTAATATTACAAATGTCTGTTGGCTTGCCCGAGAAACATCAAAACACTGCATCTCTGCTTTGAAAGGAACTTCAGAAAACCAGATGGTAGAGGACTTGCAGACCATTTCAGAAGGAGCTGGAGAGGGGCGGGGTCTCCCCACCCTCGCCAATAACTCTAATCCTACTGTCTTCTCCGATTCAGGAACTGATGAAGACAGTAGGAACCTTCTGAAACCTGCTCTCTGGACTTCCAGAGGAGAACCCAGACAGCTTTCTGGGTTCTTTATTGTAAGCAGGCAAGTGCCTCCCTACTGGGCTGTTCCCGGGAGGTTCTGGGAGCTCTCCACAGCTGGGTGTTTGCCATGTCTGCTAAGCAAGATCATAATGTGCCAACTGCTCCACTTTGGGATCAGCCCACAACTTGTTCCCTTGCCCAGAAAATAGATTTGTTTCTTCCCTCTTGGGGTATACGATCAATGCTGAAGTCCCCCCTTTTCTCCATAAATAAAGGGGCTCTCTATATACATATCCATAGCCCCTAAAGCTTGGGGTTCTGAGCTGCCAGACAGGCAAACCTCCTGGAGCTGGATGAGGAGGGAAGTTTCACAGCCCCTCTCCCAGCCTTCCCTGCCTCTGTACAGCAGGGCCAGGCCCAGCCTGGGGCTGCAAATGGTTTTGATTTGAGGCTGGGATGAAACTAGAAAGCCAGACATCATGACAGACGTGGGTGGGGCTCTGAGACAGGCCGGCTGGGAGGCAGCCCCTCCAGCCTGGACGTCTTTATTACTGAGGGGGCTGGAGGCCAGAGCAGCCAGCAGCCTCTAGCTAATGGCAACAGCAGATGTGGTCTGATTGCCAGGAGCCCTGGGGCCAGGCAGTAACCTAGCCAGTAGCAGAACGGAGGTGGAGGGAGGTGGGGAAGTGAGGACAGGAAGGTAGGCTGGTCAGGGGAAAGCCCAGAGCAGCAACTGCGTGAGGGAAGAGGGGATGGCAAGCCTTGGCACCAGAATGGCTTAGGGTAGGGTCCAGGATCAGCTTCTTGAGAGCTGAACCAGTTGCTTCCTCCCCTGTATAGGATGCTGAAGAGAGATGGTGGGATTGATGTATAGAATGACCTTGTTTCAAACACCTCCTATTCCTGGTGCCCAGTCAGTAAATGAACTAAAGTGCTGTTACTGTCTGGCCCTAAGCTAACAGAATCCCTTGGTTTCCTCATCTTAAAATAGGAGCGATACAGTCTCCCTCCCGAGACTCCCAAAGATTAAAGAGCATGTGCAATCTGGTATGTTGTAAATACTCAATAAGCCCTCATCCCTCTCCTCCTCTACCCCAGACTCATACCTACCCCTGCCTGTTTCTCAGCCAGAGTTTGTAGACGTCAAGTGGGGGAGGATAAGTGGGGAGATACTAATACTGAGAAAGATAAGATTAGAGAAACATTGTGCCAAACTTCAGCTGAGAACACTGCTGTTCTAGAACAGTGAAAAGTTGTCCACCTGAGACAGTGGCCTGGACGACTCGGTGTTAGGTGGTTCCCATCAGAAATTTATTCTTATTCTCATATTCTCCATCTCCTCTCTCTCTCTACTTCATCCCTCTGTAGCCAAAGACCCCCTGTAGTGGAAAGATGAGGGTGAGTGTGCATGGGGTAGGGAGGCGAGGGGCAGTCATTAGTGCCAAGGGCAGGAGATGAGAAAGTGCAGGGAACCAAGGCTGCCAGGAGCCTGACCAGAGCCCTACAGAGACGTCCATGAATGAGCGGTGAGCAAGGAGACAGGTAGCAGTAAGAGACAGGAAGCCAGCTCTGCCCACCGCTTGTGCTACAAAATTCTACCCTCCACAGAGCTCCTTGTCTCCCATTTCAGATGATGGGTGAGCCCAGGGGCATGTGCAAAGGTGAACTGTCCGCTCACTGAGCATTGCTAACAATCATACAAGAGGAGAGCTGAGTGGAACATAGATACCTGCCTCTGCCCTTGGACTGTCTCCATCTTCTCGGAACACCATTCCCCACCCTGCTGCCAACACACACCCTTCCCAGAGGTGAGGTGAGGTTAGGTTCAACGAGCTTTTAAAAAATAAGCCCTCTATATAACAAAATGTAAATGTCAGAATGTCACTGTCAAGAGCAGTCAGATGTTCCCCTGGGAAAATGAGCTTAAATAGCCCAACCTTGTATCAGAGCAGACTCCCTACACATTCCAGTACTGCACCTCTGTGGCAGCTTGCATCTAAATGTGAAGCATGACAAAGAAATATCATTGAATACTCAGAAGTCACAGACTGAACTCCTTTATGTGAGCTGGAGGACACCACTCACTTGTGAACTCATGCCAGCCCCTCCCCTAGCCCTCCTCACAGGGTTACGAGGAGGATTAACCAAGCAAATTGTGGAACCCGCTGCCCAATTGGAAGGACAGTGCTCTGCCCACTGAAATGGAGACTCATTGAGTTTGCGTGAAAGGCTTCCCAGGCTCAAATGGCAGCAGAAGAGAGAGGCCTAGTAGCTGTGGCACACATGTGACAATGGCTCCATGGGAGCAGCTCCTGAATAGCTCTAAATCAATGGTGGTGAGCTTTTCCTGTGACTCTGGAGTGTAGTTTGTGGACATAGCATGAGCACGTCACACATGAAGCAGCACTGATTTGTGGCAAAGCAAGCTTGCCCTCGGTGGCTCTGTTGAGATGTGCACACAGAGGACCATAAAGAAAATGAGTAGGGGGCATGCAACTCTGGAACAGAAAGGCCAAATCACAATCAACAGTGCGTGTAGGTTGTAGCTCTTGTGTTATTGAACTTGTTCTGTAAGGATGGTTTGCAATGTGCAAAATGTGGATAATAAAATGTACCTTGCTGGTCACATGTTGTGAGGCATAGAGATCACACCTGGAAGACATACCCCTTGACTCAGCATGCTCAATAAACACTGGCTTTCTAGAGGACAGAAGGTAAACATTTCAATAAAGCCCCAGTCAGAAGGCTGCTCTTATCAAATGAGAAATTTATTGTACATAAAATAAATTAATTACAGTTTGAGCCAAAGCATGAATGGCTCCTTAAAGTGCATTTGTGTAGGGGATTTGGCAGCTAGGCCTGCATCTGGTCACTCTATAAGACAGCATTTCATCATCTCAGCCACCCATAGCCACAACTCAGCCAGGCCCAGGAAACAACCCAACGTCATTGCCATTAGTCATTTACACAAACCACACCACCATCAATTAACACTTTTTTCTATACCTGATGCCAGTTAAAAAGAAAAAGCAAACAAACAACTGTACACTGTCACGGTTGGGCAGTCCAAAGTTGAGTTTTTCACAGCTACTCAACATTTATAGCCATCCTGCATCAGGAGATCCAGCACCTTCTTGTAGACTACAGCTCAAGACTGTATACAGAATATTTTGCCCTAGAATTTGACCTTTATGGGGTCCCTCCTTGTTCTTAAAGAAATCTGGGCATCCTTCAAGTCAGAAAGGCATCCTGATAGCATGTTGGAGAAACAGAGAAAGGCAAACCTTCCTCTTGGGAGATAAAACAAAAAATGGAGAAGCAAGAGGAAGCCTGTGAATGCTTCCTCGGTTCTTTCATGCCCACCCTAATTCACGTCAATGTATTCGGTGAAACTAACCACCATTTATAAGGCAGTGAGAAACAAAGACATGCCCCATCCCCGCATTAAAGGGCCAGGCAGAAAAGTCACATATCCGTCCATCTGTTCTCAGGCTCCAAACACTTGGTTTTTGCAGAATCCACAGCCCCCTTAGGCCCCTCTGCTGCAGCCTTTTCCGGAACCATGAACTACCATCAGCCTGTAATGGTCCTGCTTAAGAACCTCAGGCCCTCTGCCCAGAAGACCAAACCCCCTCCAGGAGTCGTGCTTCACACAGATGTGACAGTCCTCACTTTGGCAGACAGAGCTTGCTTAAATCTCCTTTTCAGGTCCTGCATGTTGGGTGACTTGGGTCTGGGAATGAGGGAGGTCCTGCGTTTTTCAGGTGTGCTGCTGGGCTGCTGTTTGTGGCTCACTTCTTTGCAAAGGACATGGAAGGCATTGTAGACATCGTTGTAGTTTTCGCTGACAGATACTTCATAGAAAGAGCAACCCAGCATGCCGGCTAGTTGCAGTCCAAGCTGAGGGTCTACCTGCTTGATGTGTAACAGGTCAGCTTTGTTGGCCACAACTACCACAGGCAGCCGAGTGCTGGGGTGAAGCTTCTGGACATGCTGGTGGAGCTGGCCAATGAGTTCATAGCTCTTGTGGTCGGTGATGGAGAAAACGATGACAACGGCATCTGCCCAGCGAATGCAGCGATTCAGCTGCTCATTGCAGCTCAAGCCATTTTCATGCACCTGAAGAGACGAGGAGAGCAAGGTGAACAGTGAGTACTGCACAGAGCCGCAGCTCAGTCAGACCCTTAGTAGTAATGATGGTGGCTACGGGTCAGAAACAAGTTCTATCCCCACACACCAGCTTTCTTGACAACATGTTGATCCAGCTGCTTGGAGTTGGAATAAATAACAGGGCAGCTCACCACACTCAAGTGGAAAAGGGACCTACAGAGAACTCCACGCAGAGAGACTTTGTAGTTGCACAAAATGGGAAATTAACTGGCTAGACAGTAAGTCTGGGGAAGTAAAGATAGGAGCTGGAAGCATTTAAACCTGGATAGCTGCCCAGTGCAGGACGGGGAAGGAGAAAAAAAAAATACTAGCAGAGCTCTTTTGTCTACAGAGAAACTTTCCACAACATAAAAGTGATTCTGGATGTTGGAGACTGGACCCACATATTTGGTTTTTAATGCCAAAGGCACATACGTAAAAACAGAAGGAAGTGTTGATTTGCTGAGCTTCCCCCAACTCCCTCACCCCTTCCACCCCCCACTGAGGTGACTCCTCCTACAGGAGGGGCTCTGCTCTTCACCCAGTCTCCCAAACTAAGCCAGGCCAAGGCTGACCAGCAGCCAGATACAATAAAACTGTCAAACAACACGTAAAAGTCTAGACCTCACTCCCCATAGCCTGTCTTCCAATCGGTGAACTGGGGAACAATTAATTCCATGGCCACTGGTCTCCCCTTTGACCCACTCAGCATCAGTGTCTCACCTGGACGCCTGGAGTGTCCTGGACTTGAATTGCCAAGGTTTCTCCCTCTATCTGGACTTGTCTGGTATACAGATTACCTATGAAGGCAAAGAAAAGAGATCATGTTCCTCCTTTCATGTGCAATATTATGAAATGTGGGGTTGTTTGTTTTGTTCTGTTTTTTAATGCAACACAGCCTGCACCAATACACACAGGAGAAAAAAAAAAAAAAAAAGATGTAGTTCACTTCCATTTAATGGGTTTACTTCAGATCTTGTTTAAAGAGGCCAGCTGCAATTTTAACCCCATGCTAGTAGATTTATCAAAAGTAGGTCAAAGTTTGTGGGTTTTTAGAAACTTGCTGGTCTAATTTTAAACTTGAGTTTCCATACTTAGAATATTTCCTTGAAGCAAATTTTCTGGCTCAGTATGTGCAGGGTTTCTGTTTTTATTTTAGTGCATTATCATTCTCTATAAACAGTCATAGTTTGTCCACTGGATATAATAGATTCATAGGCAACTATGGTTAGTCAATGCACAGTTAATATCCCTGGCGTAAAAATGTGACATGATGATGACCAACTCTATAACAAAGCCGAAGGCTGCAATATCTTATCTTGGGATGGTTTGTGGCCCATTTCCCTGAATCCCAACAGGTACTCCCTACAGTCTACTTAGTTAAGCAATTTGCTAGCAGGTCACAGAAAGTACCAAAGCCTCCTGGGACAGTGGCTAATTTTCAGTCACTGAGAGTGAAAGATTTGTCTTCTCATTATGCAGGAGTTCTCCCCTCTAAAATCCTCAGCTAGTTATTTTTCTTTGTTAAGGAAAAGAATTTTAGGTTTACAACTACCCTTCTTTGGCCTTTGCTTTAAAAGGTCACCCTTTTGAGGCAGAGGGTGGGGGAGGAGCTGGTCAGCGGGTTTTCCGGGTTTTTTTTGGGGGGGGGGTTTAGGGAGATGGGTTTTTTTGGTTTGGTTGGTTGTTTTTGTTTTTGATGACTTTTGCAGGCATGTTTTAAAGGAAAAGGCCCTGGATTACAAAGGGTGCTTCCAACTGGGGTCCCTATAGTCAAAGAATACCACTGGGAATACTTTCGGGCACTTGATAAAATGATGAATGGGCCTGGAATGGAATGAGGCCAGATGGCAGCTAGGGGGTGGGGGGTGGGATCGGGTGCGGAATTGGAAGTGGCAGAATCCTGATGCGCACACACTCACTCAGAAGGACGTGTCCTTGAAGGCACTGAGAAATAAGAGCAGCAATCCCAACAGGCTTTTTCTCAGTGTATTTCCTCACCTGCATTTCGCTCATAGTCTCCGATGAACCGTTTAGTGAGGAACCGGACCACCAAAGCTGCCATAGAGAAAGGAGAAGTTAACCCACTAAGTTAGATGGGTCTCCGCCCCGCCCCCATCTGGAACCCAACTCTTCCAAAGAAAGTCACAGCCGGCCACCGAGGGAAATTCCTACCCCGTAGCTCCTTGACCCCTCTGCCAGACACTAGGGGGTAGCAGCCGTGTGAATTACGGCTCTGCCAGCGCGGAGGGTCTTGTGGCTCAGCCCCTCCTTTGAGCCCAGCTGGGCCACACCTAAGCCTTCCAGCAAGTGAATGTCTTCCTAACCTTAGGGAACTCCAGAAGAGATTATAGTCACTAACTCTCGGTTCTGCCCTAGACCCTGCCAGAGGCTCAAAACCCGGCCCGAAAGTCGGCGGGCCACTGTGCACCCCGGTGGCCCTCTTATGTTGAAGCAGGAGCATGAAGGAGCCCAGGATTCCGCTGCAACGCCCACCTCTCCCCTCTTCAGTCGGGGCAGGCGGGGAGTTCTCCACCTCTCTCCCCACAACCAAGTGGACCCCTCGCTTGCACTCACCGGTTTTGCCCACGCCGCTGGCCCCCACCACGGCGATCTTGACGAGCCTTCGGCCCGCAGCCCCCAGGCAGTAGTCGGCAGCGGCGCTGCCCGGGGCGGGGTACTCGGCGATCGTGCACATGTTCTGGATGAGGCGCATCGCCGCTGCCGCCGGGCTGCACCGCGCGGGGAGGGAAGTGAGGACAAGAGCAGCTCGCGCGGAGAGGGTGACTCGGTCCGACGACGCCGCACGCCAGGGATAGATAGAAAGTATCAGGGGGACCAACGACAGATCTGTCTCTGCGGTTCCGGCTGGCAGCTGGGGTGGCTGGCTGCCGGGCGCCGGTTTTCTCTAGCTCGGGCCCCACCCCCTCCCTGGGCAGCCAATCCCCGAGCTGCTTGCTCGAGGCCCCGCCTTCGGGCTGCACAGCGAAGCTGCACCCCTAGGGAGCCGAGGGCGAGTGCGGAGGCCCCGTGAGATCCGAGGAAAGCAGGGCAGCGGGCGCGAGGGCGGCAACGTGCGGGATCCAGCCGGCTCCCGCTGCGCTAGCACGCGGCCCCAGCTGTGGCTGCGGGGTCACGGGGTCTCAGATCCGCGAGGGAAGGATCTGTCCGTCTCTGCCGAGGCTTAGATCCGCGTGAGAGACCTGTCCGTGTATGCTGGGTCCCGAATCCGGGTGGGTAATCTGTGCCTGCGAGGTCTCTGATGCTCGTAGGAGATCTGTCATACCTGCTGGGTCTCAGATCCGCGGTGGCTATAGGGTCTTTGTCTACCCACCTCGCCGCCACGTAGGGCAGTCCCTAGGTATTCTCTGGGTTGGGTCCTCGGTCCCCTAGCCTCGCTGACCACTGCCTGCCTTTAACTGGTTTCCCCACCTCTGAGGCTAAGGAACATGCCTGTGTCCACTACCCTGACCGGCTTTGTGCTCTGCTCATGTATTGTCCTGGATTATACATTTTCCCATCATTGTATCCATAAACCAAGGGCATCCCACCCACCCATAAAATGTAGCATTTGTTTTGGGGGTAAAATATCCATTTTGCTATAGTACTTCCGGACAGTGCAAGCTCACGAGAAACACACCACAGAAAGCAAGTGCTGCACCACCAGAGGCAAAACTAAGCCCGAAGTCGCTAGAACAAGCTTGTACCTCTCACCCAGTCCCGGAGCTGTGACATGGTAAGAAAATAGTCACTGTAGCTATGGATGGAACTCACTGGGAGGCAGAAGGGCCCCGCGTTTAGTCTGGTCATAAGGCAAGGGTTAGTTTAAAGCGGCTTGATGCCAAGGAAAAAAGCCTAGCACCTCAGTGTTGTCATCAGAGAAAAGCTTTGTCAAAGGCTGTCCAAATCCCAGCTTCAGCAAACTTCTACACCTTATCACCACCACCACCATCCCTTTACAACCCTCGGGCCCTTTTATCTTGGTCCCTTAGACAGCAAAGCCTGTGACTTTTGTAGACCCCTAATTAAAGATAGAAACGAAAAAAGAGATTGATGCCAGTATCTACACCATTTCCCATTTAATCACCTTCCATTCTGGATTTTATTCACCAGGTATTTGAATGGAATTTACCACCTTAATCTGGGCGGACTGCAATGAACTCTCTATTAACAGTTTGAAAGGCTGGAGGAATTGGAAAGGAAATAGAAAGATATTGTTGAACTGCCTTGATAAGCCCTCTAGGATGAACAGCATACCCAGTGGGGCACACAAGCCAAGCACTAACTGTAAAAGGCTGCTTTCTAGGCAGAACCCTGGATTGAAGGAAGGTCAGCCATCTGAGTCAAGGAGAAGAGGGCATGTCCAATTTGCATCATGTCTTTTTGTGTGGTTTAAATTATACTTGAGTTTTGCCAGTCTATAAAATCAAACTTAGCAAAGCGGTAATTACAGGTAGCATGTACCTTTCAACCCTCGGCACCCCTAGCCTGCAATTCTATAATGTTTACATAGGAAATAAGTACATAGTCTACAGTATTTGTTCGGCTGCTTTTTTTACGCATACACACAGACATGATAAAAATTCTCAAAGGGAATTTCGCTTAGAATTATTTTAGCTTCTGATGTTTCATTTTCATTACCACGAGACTAACCAAACCTGTGATTTTTCTGTCTACATCATGGAGGCTGAATTTAGTATTCTTACTTTAAGTCAAAATGAACTGGCTGTTCTTAAAACACACAGAGATCAAAAGAAAAAAGTTGAGGAAAATGATAAAAAGAAAGGTGTGTTAGGTGACAGACCCCAGTACCCCCCCACACACACACCTGTATCTGGTTAACCTTAGATAATAGCACTTAGTGATCACTTCTTGGAAATACAAATGGGGGGGTGTGGAGAAACAGGCAGGAGACAAGATACTATTGAGGGCTGACTGTATTCCAGACTATAGGAAAGGAATTTTACTCTTTACCTCTAGTTTTAACAAGGGGAGTGACCATACCTGTAATCCCATCACTCCTGAGCCTGAAGGAAACAGGAGGACCCTGTGCCATTGACATGAGGCAGATACTATCCTTACTTCCAGGAACCATACCCACTGTTGTCCCATAAGCCACCCCAAACCCGTTCTCGGTGCTTGTCCAGACACACTGCACAGTTCTTTCCCAGAGTCTAACAGGGTGTCACTGTCTGACAGCAGCCAAGCAGGCTATCATCTGGGCATCCAGGATGGTTTCATTATTAACAGGTCTGCATCTCATCTAGAATGGGGGTGGGAGGAGGAGAGCCAGGCATAGCCCAGGCTGCCTCAGAACACGTGATTTCTCATAAGTGAGCACTCTTAAGACAGAAAACAAGCCAATCCCTTAAAGCTTCCATATGGAATTGGCAAAGCGTTGCTCTATTGCTAATGATCAAGTGCACAGAAGCCACCCAAGCCAAAGTGGGAGAAGGACAAGCATCACTCATACCTGTAGATGGGAACAGTGCCAAAGAGTCTGTGCCCATCTTCCTTTAAAGGTGAGAGAACAGAGCCTCACATACATCCTCACAAAGATCACAGAGCCTATAGTGGACAGTACCACAGTCTGCCGGTGATCAGTGATATTTAAAACCAACTAAATGAAGACTGAGGAGGTTGCTCAGTTGGTACAGTATTTTGTGAGCAAGCATGAAGGCTGGAGTTCAACCCCCAGCACTGTGTAAAAACAAAAACAAAAGAAAAACCCAGGCACCATAGCACATACCTAAATCCAGGCCTTGGAGAAATGGCTGTTAAGACTGTTGGCCAGACAGTCTAACAGAGTCAGCTCTATATTCGGTGCAAAATTATGTTGAAAATTAATTGAAAAATGGGATGGTGAATGACTGAGGGAGACACCCACATAGACTTCTGACCTCCTCGGGCTCCCACAAACACATGTGTATGCACCCAGCCAGCCACACACACACAAATGCCACAAATAGTCAGGAGATGGTATGCTGCCATGTGATGTGCTCACACTCTCCCCCTCCCTCTCCATCTCTCTCTGTCTCTGTGACTCTGTCTCCCTCCATCTGCCCCCTCTCTCAATCTTAAATAAAGATAAGAAAGAGGATAGGAGATTAAAATATGAGGGATTCGGGGGAGTAAAGACAGGCATATTTTGCTAAGTTTTGATTTTGCCTCAGCATCTGGAGTTCCTCTTTGATCTTTAAAGTCAATCTTTGATCTGAAAGCTTCCAGAGATAATCTGGTGTCTGGAAGTCCTTAGGATCCCAGAATGTAAATTTAATAAATATTTACTTAACATCTGGGCTGTGAGTATAGCAGGCACTGTGCAGGGACTAGAGTCTACTCCGGTGATTTCATTTACATTAGGTATTGGAAACTGAGATGTGGCCAAGCAATTCCAATACAATGTGAGAAAATGCCTTGATAGAAGAAATTCATATGTCATAGGAGAAGATAATAGGACCTAGAGTAGAAATAGGCTCTAGTTAAGGAATAGCTGGGCTGGATAGTTGTTATATGTGTAAATGTATGTATATGTACGTGTAAGCATGTGGGGAGCTAGTTTGGAAGCTGCATTTGCCCCTAGAGGAAAAAGCTGGTAATTATCTGTGGGCTGTGAAATGAAGGAACCTGTAAGACAAAGGCTCACTCCAGTGAGGAGAACCAATCATGGACAGAGACTCGGGATACAGAGAGCAGGGCACAGGAGAATTCTAAGGACACACACATTGTTAGAATCAGAAAACCGATGAGGTCCCTTCTTCCAGGGGACCATGTCTATGGAAGCCAGATGAGTGCTGCTCTGCCACATCCCCAAGGGTTGCTTCCAAACGTGTGTGTCAAAGTACATGGGCTTTTGCCGAGTTGGGGTTTTATTATTTATTTTGAGACTTATTTCAACCCCACCATCTATGGGGATGCAGCAAATAGACACACCTTTAGCTATTGTAAGCAAAACATGATTTAACAAATAAGAGAGGTAAGACCACAGGGACTCAGGAGCTGAACCTACAGTATCTTTCCTCTCCCTTCCTAGCTTGCTCCCCTCCTCCTCCTCCTGTCTCTCTTCCTCACTTATTGTAAATCTAAAGCTACTTAAAAAAATAAGTAAAAGGAAATCTAGGGAGGTGAACACAGTAAAGGACAGGTGATCTGTGAATGGGGGTGGGGGGGGGCTGGAGAGATGTTTTAGTTGGGTTTTTATTTATTTATTTATTTTGAGACTGGCTACTCTTCCAGAGGATCAGGGTTCAATTCCCAGCACCCATATGGCAGTTCACAACTGTCTGTAACTCCAGTTCCAGGGGATCTGATGCCCTCGTACAGACATATACCTGCAGGCAAAACACCAAAACACATAAAATAGAAATACTAATTATTCTTTTAAAAAGAAAACACCTTATGAACTCCATCACTATGTACAATGGAGTATAGCCAATAAAAAATAAATAAAATGAAAAGTAAAGCCATCACAGAGGAACCCAGAAAGTCTATTTTCTCTTATTAGGGGAAAAAGGCTCTAGGGCATCAGTTTGGCTCCTGGCTGAGGATTAGAACCCTTCGCCCATTGTATAATGTCCCCTCTAAGAAATTTTCCAGCTGAATCTCTAGAGTTCTATATCTTCCTGACACCCACAGGGGCATGTCACACTGACCTGGTACCTTCTCTCCTGTAGCCTTCTCCTAGAAAGACAGATTTTGGCATGCTCACCAACTTTCCAAATGACTGGCCAGTTTGGGCTTTCATTACCACACTATTTGTGAAATACTGTGACCCAGGAATGGTGAGTGTCTGCTACATGGAATCCTGAACAGCAAGTG